CACGTTTCAGGCATAGCTTTTCACTATAAGTTCCACATTCAGCATTCATTTTTTTTTTTGGAAAAATCATTTGAAATCCATTAATTTTATGAAGTTTTCTGTTTTTGATATTTTTACATTCTATTGTTTATCTTATAAAATATAAAATATCATCTCTTTCTCTTTCAAAAAAAAGTAAACTTCATGATTTATTGTGGATCTCACATTCACTTCTTATACTATGGGGCTTTTATTATCATTTCTTCTCAATTACTATATCATGTTTTAAAAATTTATTATATTATTTTTTTAAAAAATTACTATATGATTTTTTTAAAAAAAAAAGTCAGGTGATCTATCGTAGTCATGGGATTAAAAATACTATATATCATGGATAGACATAAATTATAAATATAAGTAGAAAGATAGATGTTGTTTTTTAAAAAATCATGCGTGTGTGTTTCAAAAGGAAAAAGAAAGACTGTCAGATGGGGCATTTTAGATCTCCACTGCCCTTATTCAACCATATTTACAGTATATTATAGATTAACTAAAAGGCTTTTCAACAAAATAATAATAATAATAATTAAAAGGCTTCATTTTTTATGGGAGGGTCTTGCATATGTCTAAAGTATATGGGCTTCATGGCGCCCAATCCCAGCTGCCTGATAGAAATTCTGAAGGACTCAGCCCTGCCCAATCAATCTCAACTTTTTCATTGTGCGTGTTCAGTCACCCCTAGGCTTTATGATTAATGCTTATCAAAATACATCCATAATTTATATTATTTTTAATATATATATATATATATATATCTCTAAGAAACAACCTGGCCTCAGCTTATAACAATACCTAGCTGAGTAGGCTGATTCGTATCCTCATTAAGAATCCTAGCAAAGATTAGTCGAAGGGACCAATTCTAGCGAAAGCTTTGCCAAATGATCAGCAGCAGGAGCGGATAAAATATATGGGAGTTAGGATGTAATGTTTCAGTATAAAATCAATACCATTTTTCAAAGGGTGGTCTCATCATATGGGACGATCAAGACAATTAGATCAAAAAAATTTTTAAATATATTAGTTATCATTCAAGTAGGATAGTTATACTTTCGAGCATTTTAGAAGAACTCAACATTTGTTGAGCAATGAAGTTTAGCAAAATTAATATCCACTCTGACTTTATAAAAATGTTTAGATTAACATGCAAAGAGTTCTCTACTAATCATTCACTAGTTGCAACTATCAACAATATCAAATAACTTATAATGAAAGACTAGACAGTTACTTTTGATCATGTCTTTAAAGAAATTAATAAATATGCAGATTGAACAGCTCACCAAGTTTCTATCATAATTTAAATGTTTAAATTTTTGATAATCTACCTTTTAGTTGTATGAATTTTTTGTATATTGATATGATTTAAGTTGTCTATTTGTATGGGTTAGTCCCATGGCCTCCTATTAAAAAAAAGGGGTCATCTCATCTCATATGCAAGCTTTGTCCAGTTCAACTAAAAGTATATCTTTTAAAGACGTTTTCTATATTCAATGTGGATGCCATATGCATGTTCTTTGTTGAAAAAAATGGTTAATTAGTGTGTTAATAGTAGAACCAATTTTAATGTTCATCCAGCTTATTGCCTTTGGATTGATCAAATCTAATTTTCATTGTCCAAATTTATAATTTTTCAACTATTGTTTTCCAAATAAAAATTATTTTTTAAAAAAATTGATAGTTAAGAGATTGTTTAATTTTTTAAAATAAAAGTAAAAAGCTTTTAATCTAAATCATTTAGATTAGATCTGAATGGTTTAGAGGTGATGGGTTGCTTATCTATATGGTGAGTATTGAAACTGGTTTCTATTGACAGCAGGGTAGAAACATGAGTTTTTAAACATTTATGAGAAAAAATTTTCTGAAAGCAAGTTCAAGACACTTGCAAATCCAACATGAAAATTTCAAGGAAAAAAACCCTTAATCCTATGCATTATTAAGTTACCTATTAAATAAGGGTAGACATAAAATAATACGAAATTTTTAATGGTATTAACTATTTTTTTAGAGCCAATGCTAATTGAAAATATCTTGTAATTCTAAACGGATTAATTTTTTTTTTATAGGATTAAACTGATTAACTTTAAAAATTCTTTTTTTCAGCTGCAAAGAATTTGTGGACCGCACGGTGCTCCAAAGAAGGGACTTCATTTCAATAAAACCTTTTGAATTAGGAAAACGTTATTTAAGTCAAGTCTCAAGGACTTAAATAAGATTAAAGTTTGAAATACATTTACGTTTAAGCGGTTTCTGACCGACATTTTGATCTCATTTTTTAAGATTGGAAAAGAACCTTAATCTTTAATTAACCCTTTCAAATTTTAGAGTCCTTAATTATCATTATTTTTTTAAATATCCTTTTTTTCCAATGACATCCTCAAATCTCCTTGTCCATTTTATTTCTCTTGTTTATTTTTTACGCAAAAGTTTAGACGAATTGGATTGACTCACTAAGGTTAGGATATGCATTTAAGTTTTAAAAAAATTTATAAAGTATTTACAGATCACCACTACCAACAAAGCCCTCACCTCACATTGATATTAAGATTTGAATTTACGATGTTGCAGGTTATTAGCCAGATTCTTTGCGTGTGTTTGGATTGAGGAGAAACGCGCGTTTTCAGCTCCAGAATTGATTTTTTAAACAAAATATCCAAACAGCAGAAAAACGTAGAAATCGATTAAAAACACAAAACGCGCGTTTTTTAATAAGCTCCTCCCACTAACTTTTCGCAAAAAAATTGTCAAAAATATTAGGAAAAATTACAAAGAAAGGCCCATGAAAAAATTATAAAAAAAGCACATAATTAATAAAAATAAAATTAAACTCTCTTCTTTTCCTTTTTTTTTTCTTAATAAAATTTAAACTTTGAATATTCAAAAAATTAATATTTGATATTTAAAAATTAAATTATATAGTAATTTATATAGTTAAAAATTAATTTTAATTAAATTATCCAAACAACTTTAATTTTGTTAAAATTAATTTTAAAAAAACAGTATCCAAACAGATTGCGTTATAACATAATCAATTATGATTAAAATCTACTACTTAATCAATTATTTTCATAATCTATTATACCCAACTGAAATCCAAACGGATCCTTTGCCAACTGAGCTAACTTTTATTGGCTTACTTCACCTGCTTTGACCAATGAAGCTGGCACCACCTTGTAAGCGCATTTTTATTGGGCCAAATTTTGGGTCTGATAACACGTCTAAGTTGCGGCCTCTTTTCTTCCATCAAATAATCATTCTTCAGAAACTGGACCGTTCTGTGGGCCTCAACATACCGCTGACCCAAACTCATGACATAGTAGGCTGGCCGACCATAACAGGAAGAATGACAGAAAAATTCCAAAAGCACCAATTAATTTAACTTAAATCCCAAATGTTGAATTTTAAAAATTTGTGAGTTCAGTACTTAATTTTTAAATTTTATTATGATGAATTTGGCACTTGTGCTTTAAATTTTAATAGAATAAATAACTTTATTTATTCTTTCACCATGTTAAATTAAGTTGTAAATTTATCACAATGAAATTATAAAATTGAGAGTCAAAGTTGTAAATTCTTGAAGTTTAACACTTAAAACTTAAGTTAAATTAATTAATTTTTTTGAGACCTTTATATTATTTTTCCAAATAAATAAATTAGCCATGAGATAACTAGATAGTAAATAAAAAGAGATCATACTTCTTTCGTCCCAAATTATAGGGTACTTTTAAAGAAATTTCTTAATCCCAAAATATAAGACACTTTGAATAGATTAAAATTTTATTAAATACACTAATTTCAATATTATCTTTTTTTTCTATAATTAATTTGTCTTTTCACTTTGGATATTTTTATAAATTTATATTTTTATTTTTTTAAAAAAGATTGTTAAGTGTATTTAATATGTAAAATTTTGTTGAAAAATGTCTTATAATATATTTTCATGTTCTTTTTACAGATATCATAATTTACTTGTTTGATCTCTTCCAAGTTCCAAGCTTTTCTGAACCCAGTACACACTACTTTTAGAGTTATTCATGAGCTCACTGAACTTGGCTTTTTAGAAAGCCTACACTGGGAATTTGAATTTTGCAAAGCCAAAAAATAAAAATAAAAAATTAACCTGTAATTGGGTTTAATATTTTTTAAATTTTAAAATTGGAATTAAAGACACTTTAATCTGATGGGGGAGAGTTGGGTTTCGAATTCCGCTAATATTTTCTTTCCTAGAGTGTCTTTAATTCCAATTTTAAAATTTTAAAAATATATAACAGACTGGTCCGCGATGTGTTCTCGTTCTTTACAGACAGAAGGCTAGATCACAGGTCAAATGAAAGATGAGTTCAAGAAAAAGACAGCAAATGAAACAGATATAACCTTGAACCAACTCGTGACAGTAAATATAGACTACAAGATACACTCGAAGCTCAAAGCATTATCCACAACCATGCAGATGCCAAAGTCACCTTTTTCTTTCTCCCGCCTTCCATGTTTGGCAAGACATGTTGACATCAAAAGGATCTAAAAATCTAAAAAGGGAATCTCGCAGCCAAGATTAGAGTGAAACGGGTTATCTCAACCACACGGTCTAATTTATCCACACAAGATTTGAATCATTCATATTTTTGTTATTCATAATATTTCAATTTGAACAATTTTCTTTAAATTTTAAATCAAACAATAGGTTACTCTACCCTTATCAAAGACTTCAAAATAAATATACTTTATTTTATGCTAATTCAATTTTTAAAGAAAATAAATGCTTGAGGTAAAAAAAAAAAAGAAAAGAAAATACTCAACTTTACTTGGACTCCCTAAATCTACTGTTCCAAGTGAACAATCATATATCCAATAATCCTAAGAAGAAAGGTGAGCTGAAACTAATTTTATCATACTCGGAGATCTTGCACTAAATACTTTAAGTTTTTCATAATTGAAGTCACAGGATGGTCAATTTATACAAATCAAAATGAATGACTAGATAAATGGAGGGATGGAATAAATAAATAGAAATGAAACATAAGTCTCATGTCCAAATAAGCAGAATAAAGAACAATAATCTATAGAATGTCACAAGAATCTATAACATATATACAAATATCTACAACACCGGCAGAGACAGCATCAGTTACGACTTACGACTCATTCCACAACATTCAAGTTTACGCCTTCACAAGCCACACCTTTGATAAATAAATGCAATAGTACCGACCTCCCCCTAAAAATTCCTTCTTCCATTGGAAAGAAAATAACCCTGAAAAGCCCACGAAAGATGAAAAAAGGGGGCAAATGAGGCATCTTGGCAATATCAATCTAATCCCAGTTTAAAATTTATAACCCATGACAAGCCACCCGGTATGACACAAATAAGGAGAAGACATCCCTGAAGTCTTGAATGACAGATATGGAAGAGAGAGGAAGATGATTATCACAAGTTACTAAGGCAAGAAAAAAGGGCAATAAAATGACCAAAATTGTCTGTCTTCAAGCTTTTCCCTTCCCAGTAGCTCCTTCCCGTTGATAACGAAAATGGCTTAGAAGTTGTTGTGCCTGCATGCATACATAGAACACATAAGCCTTTATTATACTTTGAGAGCATAATTATGATGCGAGTCAATACACACCACGGCCAGCCATGATTGCTCTTTCCAATTTTATGTGTTACTAAAATTTTCCAAGTTCTTACCCCCCCTTTCATGCATGCATATGCTTTCTACTTGATTGATCTAAATATCTCAAACAGAACGCCAGATAAAGTCAGAAATTCCATCCACATTAATTTCAGGTAAAATGCACTGAAGTGTACGTTTAAAAGTGAGATTTTAGCCCCTTAGTTTCAACTAATAAGGTATCTAATTTGACCCCTAGGGTTTCACCACTCTATTTTATCCTGAGAGGGACAAGAACAGCCTCCTCTGAATGCAGGAAAATGACTTGTTTATAGTCTAAAAACAATCAGAAAGTTCCCCAATGAGAAGGATGACAAACACAGCAGATGATGAGCTCCAAACCTTTTCCTTTGCTCTTGGTGTACCGGATTGAGATAATGCAACCAAGGGAGGTACAGCTCCTTCTTGCAGAACCAGAGTACAAAACTTGGTATTATGAAGGCATAGTTGTAAGAGAATGGATGCAGCATTTTCCTTTCCCCTTTGGGAACCTGAATCAACAAACTCAACTAGCAAGGGGATGGCCCCCTCCCTTGCAATTGCTAATCGCCCCTCTGCAATTGTTGACAGATTTGCCAAAAGAGCAACAGCTTTATCAACCATTCCAGCAGAATGGTCCATCAACTGAACCAGATGCTTCACGGCTCCAGCTTGAACAATACGAGCTTTATTCTCATGACATATTGATAGGTTAAATAAAGCAGTAGCAGCATCCTTCTGTCCTCTAAGAGTTCCTGAGCCAAGGAGATCAACCAAAGATTTGACCGCACCAGACTGGCCAATTGTTGCCTTATAGTGTTCTATTACAGAAAGGCTAAATAGAGCTGCTGCAGAATTCTCCTTGGCCCCATCATTTCCAGTTTTCAGAACATGGATAAGTGGTTCGATTGCTCCAGCTTCCACAATCAAGGCCTTGTTATCTTCACTAATCGACAAATTCAGCAAGGCTGTCACAGCATGCTCTTGTGTTATCTTCACTTCTGAATAAAGAAGTGAAAGTAAAGGTGCGATAGCCCCACACTGCCCTATCATGATTCGGTTTTCCACATTGTGCTTCGAAAGAAGCCTCAATTCTTCTGCAGCCTTAGTTTGCGCTTCATCGCATGGACTGTGAAGATCTTCAATCAACTTATTGACATAAGATGCAGTTGTCAACTCATCATATCCTGAATTGCAAACAGGAAGAGAATGAACTTTTGAATGGCGGTTATTATTATCATTTCTAGTCTCTGTTTCTCCTAATTTTGATCTTGGGCCTTGAAATTGCTTTCCTGATAACCAAGGAGAAGACTCTGATTCGTTATTTGCAGGAGCTGTAGATCCCTTGGTGATTTCTCCGGACAGCTCCTTTACATTTTCTTGCTTACTAACTATCTCTGATGCTTCTTTTGAAACAGGGTGTGCACAGTCAGTACTAGAAATGGAACTTGAGAATGATTCACTTCTACTATAAATATAGGAAGGAGCAGGAGATTGTTGCTCAAATTTTTCTATTTCTAAGCTCTGGCATCCATTGGATTCTCCACTTAATCTGGAAGAGATATCACCTTTTTGCTTTTCAAATGCATTTCCAGTTTGAAGAGATGATCTTGATGTGGAATTACTACTATGTACAGACCCAAAACTACATGAACGAGCTAAATCTTGGGGCAATGAATGGTCTATGGGGGTTTTCATATTATTGAACTCAGAGTTATTGGTAAGTTTGACATTATTTTCCTCACACCAATTTGCTACCATGGCCTTCACAGTATAATTAGGAATGAGGTTTGTATGAGCAAGTCTCTGATGAGTCTTGGGACAAACATTCAACCCATGATCAAGCCATTTTTGGATGGATACCCTATCATATGTCTGACCAGAAGCCACAATAACAGGATCCACCATAAGTTCCAATGACAAAGGACATATAAAGTATGAAGGAATTGAGATGCCACTTTTGCCTTCAGGGCGCTCAAATTTAATTGCATAATCACGTAAGCTGCAGACAAGACCCACAATTGCATTAATTTCATCTAATTCTGCTTTCACTTTCTTGACTTCAGTACTCAGTCTTTCCTTTTCCACAGCAATACTTTCTTTCATAAGTTCCAGGTTTGCCGTCAATCCAAGCAACTCAATGATTTTCTTTAGATTTTCGTTGTGAAGTTCAATATTTTCTCTTTGATTTGTCAACGCCTCTTCTATGTAGCCTGTGGCTGGTTCCTTCTTCAAACATTTAAGCTCCTGCAAATAGTTCTGAAAAAGTTGCTAGCAATTAGTCTCATGCTGGTACTAATCAACTAGACACTGATGAAAATGAAGATAGCTTTTGCTGCCAAATACAGGGATTTTTTTTTCTTTTGGCATTTTAATATTTCATTTTGGGGAGCGGTAGTGTAGCAGAACAAGAGCAATAAGCAGGAGGAGGAAGAAAGTCAACAGATACCATCTTACACCGTAGATAATAGAGGTCAGTTTCAACTATGGGCATACCTCGAGACTAGCCAAAACTGAAGTAGGCGGAGGTGACTGTAGGGATCTAAATATCAAGTGACAAATCTCAACTGAGGATATCTGTATTTTCATCAACAATGACCCACTTCGCAGAACCTGAAATACAACAATCCAATCAAATAAATGAATGCTAGCTATCAACCATGCCTGCATACAAGAGGAGGGATGGAGCATTGGCAATTCATAGCTTGTTTCAATTTTCAAATGCCAACTAAGAGGTTTATAATATACGAAGGAAGTTACTTACACTAAGAATCTTGCTTCTCTTTGGGCTCCAATTTTCCAATAACTCTCGAGCTCCATTAACTGCCATATCCAATTCTTCGCACTCTTTACATAGATTTTCATCTAAGTAAGTTTTGCAATGTATAACATCATCGAGCACTGGTTTCAAACGCTTTAACACGCCAATCATATGATTGTAGTTCTTCTGAAATGGCATTGGTTTCACCATTTGGCAAGAAACCAGATGAATGAATCGAGAAATGCTGTTGACAAGACATTTTACTGAAGCTGTATCTATTCGACCTGGTTTAGTAAAACATACAACAAATTAATATCATGAGCAATAAAAAGAATTTGAAGCAAGCATTTCTGTGATGTGATGCAGAATGAAGCAGGTGTGAAGGCACTCCCATATTTATTCCTATATTCAGTTTAGCCTTAATTACCCAAACTCCAACAAAATAATTAGGTTTAAAGTAGACTCCAATGCATGGGAGAGTAAGAAAGAACCCATTATAGAGAAATGTTCTAACTTCTACACCACGCTTTCTCTTCATGCAAAAACACATCTTTTCCATAAGCACTGTCCAATTTTGAACTAAAGAAGATAAAAGGGGCAGATATGAATGAAGCCAACAGAAATGGGGAAAAAAACAGAAAGAAAGAAGAAAGTAAAAGCTCAAGACAGATGACATTAACTTAGGTAAGACGGGCTTGGTACAGATTTACAGATATGTGGTGAAGATTCACTGAAAGGGGTAAAATGCATTAACTGACACAAGCCAACACTATGAAAACGATGCATGCATGTCAGTCCTTCGAAGGAGAAAGTCAGAAAGAACTTCTGGTTCGCGAGCTTTAGCATAAAAATACGGGACAGACATTAGTGACCTCTCAAATGAACCTGATTTAACTATTTAGCTCAGATATAATTTTTTCAGGAACAATATTTAATAAAATTACGCCAACTTTACCTTTCTCCTCGACTTTTCCCAAGCTCTTTGAGCAAATAAACAGATAGTAGTTCCGTTTGTTTATTTATTTGTTTATTTTTAACCGTAAACGAAATCCAGTAAAATCAATTGTGAAGAGCCTTAACAACACCACAACAAAAAAAATTACCCACTTGTAAGGGAAATTTCTTCAAACATTTCCCAAGCTTATCACACCTTCTTTGATCCATACAAACCCCAGAAACTTCCCAGAGTTCAGATTTCTTTTCACGGCATATACAAGATTTAATTGGTTTCCAACAAATCAAAAACTCAGACGGAGCACCTGACAGAGCCCTTGAGAGACAAGAAAAATACATTTCGTAAGAGAAGACGAGAAAAAGCAAGAGCCAGGATCACAACGTACTTGCAGCAATATGCATGGTTCTTAAACTCGAAGGCGACAGTTAAACAGATCTCGCCCGACTTCAGACCATGGGCAATGGAAGTTTTCCAGAGATTTAAGAATTTAATCGACACTGAATGAAGCCCTTGTTGCCTGTATTCCTGAGAAAGTTGCCTGCAAAGCGAGAAGGAACGGGAGGGGTCCAAGACAACTAAATGAAATCTTTTAAGAAATTCTAAAATACAAAGAAAGGGAAAAAGTGGTGGGACCTCAATCTTATACCGTCGCAGATTTTTTGGCTTCGTGGTAAAACTTCATTAAGAAAAGAACACAATGAAGAGCTCCACAGGCGAGTGAGTAGATAAGGAAAAGATGTGTTTGGATTAGATTACAGAAAAATACAACCCAAGATCGAGACTTTCATTAGATGAAGAGGGAGCGATGTGGAAAAGATGATACGATTCATAAAAATACCTTATGCCAGAAAAACATGACGTAGACCTTTTTTTATTTTTAAAAAGACATAGCTATATGGACAGAAAAGAAAAAGTCATGGAAGGAGGAGGAGAATGGTGAGTTCGTTGACGTTTTCAGTCAAGATATCTATTTTTAGACATAGAAAAGCTTATATTGTTATTTTATTTTGGGACTTGAGTGGCTACGATATTACAATTACAAGTAACATTGCAGCATTTTCATACGGATGGATCGTCAGCTTCAAACACAAATTGAAGACCATAAGACCAGAACGTATGAAAGATCGTAATCTGAAGACTGGTTTAGAAGGAAGAGAAAAGTGGAAAATTCTTTTTGGCCGTATGAGGCTGAGTGAGACCAATGCAAATCTCAACAACCTCTCTTGTACTGAGATCTGCCTCGCTGCCTTCGACAAAATTGGGTCCTCCCCTCCTTTAAAGCATTGTACGTTTCGCTTGCTCCCAGTATTCACCATCTATTTCTTATTTAATTTACTAATATTAATTTTTTTAAAAAAAATAAGTATCGCATACAAATTTTTCTCTCTTTTTACATATTCTCTTTATTAATTTATACACAACCAAGTAAGCTGTTTTTCTTTGTCTGATTCATCAATAGTAAGTCAGTTTCTTACTTTACAAGTGATGAAAATGAAATTGAATGGAATAGCTGCTAAAGAAGTCAGATTTTTTATTTAATGATATTTTTTTAGAAACTATTCACCAGCCTTATAGTTTAAGGACAGGGTTAAGATACTTGAATTAATATTTTTGCTGTATTTTTTCCAATTTAAATCATATCGTGGATTTATTTATTTATCAAGCCTTTGAGTCAGATTTTTTTTTTGGAGAATGACAACCAGGTCTTATGCAAAACAATTAATTACTATAAGAGTTATTAACAACTGATCAATTTAATTACTGTATTGTTAATGTAATTTAGTTTAGTTGTTAATAGATCTTTGTGTGCGGGACCTCAATGTAATTTTATTTTGAACAAAAAAAAGAATTACATTTAAGCCCCACATAAAAATTAACTATTATAAGATATATTAATTATTGAATTAAAAAATTAATAATATAATTAACTGTCAATCTTGTTAATTCAGTTCCCACTGAATGTTATAATAATTAATTTTTATATAAAAATTTTAATGTAATTTTTTTTTTTAAAAAAGTGAATCTCATGTTTCTGTCAGTTTACTGTGTTGGTTTTCAGAGACTCTTCGTCTAAAGGATCTAAAATATTTTGACGATACGTCATCTTTTCCCCCAGAGTAGCTACACGGCAGAATTAGCAACTAGCAATTTAGCATCTTTCAGGCTTTGAAATCTGCCACCATTTGCACTCGTAAAGTTTGCTGAAAGTCATTATTAATACTTGGTATCATGCTTTTCAGCAGATTCACTCTTTTAATGTGAGTAATTCAGGTTTAAAAAAAAAGGTTTTAAGAAAATCTTTTTGTGTGTGTACTTTAGATTTACTCTCTCTCTCTCTCTCTCTCTCTCTCTCACAGAGAGAATTAGATTCAGATTACCTGAGATTGTGAAATTCTAAAATATTTCTGAATAAAAAAAAAAATAAAAAGAGTCGTATGAATATTTTCATTCCTGTCTCGCTCTCTTTCTATTCCGAAGCACTTTTACATTTACCTTTAAAATATTCAATTCCAAAAAAAATCACATTCTAGTATTAAATTTTATGAGGAATGCATATAATGCAGAACTCATATATCTGATACAATTTGTCGTTTAATTAAAGAATATTATTAATTAAATAACATGCACACTGCACAGTATATATTTTTCAATTTTCACATTTGTGAGCATATTTTATTATCTCTGACCTTAATGTTCTTGGCGAGACTCCAGGCCAAAAGCCACGAAGGATACTGTTTCTGGTCCTAACTACCTAATCCCAACCACAATGTTAATAATTAGGAATCTATTTTGTTTTGTTTGCGTTAGGCCAAGTTAATTTAAATATATTTGGTTTCATCTACTTTATGACGTTGGATAATTCCCCACACATTACCCATTCTCAGCCTTAAATGCCAAATAACAATCATATTGCTGTTGGCGAAATAGAAAACAATAATATTGCCGATAAATTTTGGAAAAGAAAATGGAGTAGTTTATTTATTTTGGTTAGGCTTTGATCCTCTAATTTTATACTCCCTCCATTTAAAAATATAAATATTTTAATTAAATATCACCCTTAATAAATTAATTAATTATTTTTAAACTAACTCTATTTTTTTTATATTTACACCTATTAATAGGATGTTTTATTTTAAAAAAATATAAAGTCATCTATTCAATAAGGGACTTTTTTAAAAACAAGTTAATAATTACATATTAAAAGACTAAAAATACTTTATTTTTTAAAATTTAACCCCTCTAAAATATTTTATATTTTAAATTGAGGGAGCATATAAATTTCATTTTAATCTTTTGACTTTTTAATCATAACATTATTGATTTTAAATTATTTTTAAGACAATCATTATTATTTTAAAAAAGGTTAATTTAATATATCAGCATGCAAAAATATTTTAATAGTATTTAAAAATTTAATATATAAATTTATTTTTTGATAAAATTAACTATGTTAAAATTAAAATATTTAAAAGATGCTTCCTTATAAAATTAAAAGATTAAAATTGTACTTTAATCTTTTGATTATTTGCCATCTTTTCTCTCCTCTTTTGTTGTCTATGTTTTTTTTTGGTCTAAATTATATTGGACGGTTTAAATTTAAAATTTTAAAAATAAATAAATAATTTAAAATATTAAAATTTAATCTAAATGATTTGAATTAATTAAAATAAGGGGATAAAAGAAAAGTAGATAAACCAAATTGGATTACGTGCCAGGCTACCACAGGGCCACCTGACCCATTTAACATCGGAGTCAAAGCAATAAAATTTTAAACATACTGTCTGCGCAAAAAACAAAATTCCCATCTATTTATGACACCCCATGATTCGTTGGCCTGACTTAGGAGTCGGTTGGTCATCAAATTAGCTCACTCTATTAATAATTAAATACTTCGATTAAGACACTTTCATCCATTGCGGAGACGGAATACAAAGAAATTCATGACTACGTTTTATCAAATGTGAGTCATGAACATAATGTATTTTTATTTTCAAAATTAAGTCTACAATTTTTTAAAAAATATAAATATATAGAAAATTTAAATTGGTCCCGTTACAGTGCACACTTTTTGAAGGTCACTTGCAAGGGACATCATTAAAATTATGCTGGATGTTGCCCCCCAAAAAAAAAAAGGAAAAAGAAAGAAAGTCCCTGTCGAGACTCCGGAACAATCAAGTCATTTTTGTGACATTTGAGCTAAACATGTGAATCTCACTTTTTCTTTCTATATATATAAAATTATATATAATAAATATGTGTATTAGAGACAGTAATTTAGAGAGGCAGTTCAATTCTTAAATTTAAATATTGATAGATTTAATTAAAATAATTATACATTATTAATAAGATTTCAGCTCTCAAAAGTTTACTTAAAGGAAACCAAGTCTTCTTCTTCTTTTTTTTTTTTTTTTTTTTTTTTTTAGCTGAGAAATTAGCACTGGTTAGGTATGCAGTATGCTCCTACAAGGTGACAACTTTTAAGTGGAGATTCTTAACATTGCTCATCTCATTTCTTATTTATGCTTTACTTCAATAACTCTGGGAGGCCCCTTGCTAACCCCACTTCATTAATTATGTACCTTCTCTTTTTCTCCAAACCTTTTGAATTAAGAGAAAAAAAAATCAAGGAGAGATCTTATAATGAAAAGGATGTAAAATCAGATTCATCATTTTTTAAGACATTATAATAAAAAAAATTAATTAACAACAGCTGGATCAAAATAAAAGAGACTTAGAATCTTGAAGAAAGATTTTAAGTCTGGATATTCTGAATGAGAAAAATATCTTATAATGAGAAAAAAGATATAAAACAAGATTAATGATCTTTCACAAATATTGTATAATTATTAAAATTTCTTAACTAGGGTTAAGTTCGCAACAGAAAAATTTGAATATAGTCTTGAATCCAAGTCTTATAAATTTAAAAAAAAACTAAAAAAAAAAAGCTTTCTCCCTATTTAGATTTCGGCAAGACTTAGATTGAATTAGTTAATTTTATTTTACATAAAACAGTGTTCAAAAAAAGAAAATTGCGGACCCCAGAAAACCCATTGTAATGGGATGTCGCTTCATTCTTGTTTTATCAATTTCATTCATTGCTTTTAATGCACTGATTAATAATTATCATTAGGCAAAAGATTAGCCTTCCAAGTCAAGGCATCTTCCACTCTTTCTCTTGCAAGTGCTGCTGCTGTCCTCATCAATTTGTGAAGGAATCACGAACATTATGCGCAGCGGTCATATTTGAAGTAAATATCTCTCTGTAAAAAAATTTTTTTTTTTATGAGATTGAATGTTAAAAATATATTATTTTTAATTTTTTAATATATAATTAATAATTTTTTTTAAAAAATAATTTCAACAAATAAATCATTAAACTTTTTACTTTTAAGTATAACACTCTATTAAATAAGGATAAATATAAAAAAATACTGTTAGTTTAAAGATAATAAAGTATAATTTTATTTAAAGTGACTTATATTTTTAGATGAAGAGAGTAATTTAAAACAATGAAGTAAATAATCCCTTCCTTGGCACAGAATTACACTGACAGTGTAATTAAAAAAAAAAAAAAAGCATCTAACAATTGATAAACCTGATTACCATGACGAATACCAACATGCCCTCGTCAAGGAATGAATCAGAAACTTGGCATGTAAGTGTAAACTGATCTTTCCTTGAAGGTCACATCCGTTCCCTTTTTTATTTTTTTGGGCACACAAGAAAAACAGTAGACAACATTATGAGTAGTCTAGTCAATAAAAGTTGATGGGAGTAAAAAAAGGTAGAAACCAGCATATGGCTTGCTTGTATTAAAAAAAAGAAAAAAGGAAAAAGCTAACAGTGAAACTAGCAAATGCAATTCAATTCATTGCCTTGGCGCAGCTTTACCTTTTAGATACCACTTCGACTAAAGCAAGAATGCGTGTAATATAGACCTAACTTTAATTCAAGCTCACCCTCCCACCCTCTCCCTTCACTGCTATAATTGATTGTGTTACCTAAGCTAAGTGGATCAACGTACCTGATTCTGTATAATGCCATCATGATATTCTAATTAGTTCAGCTGTTTTGCCGTGTACGTAATGGCTTTGTACATTACTGGATGGATTCATGAGGGATTTCGTCTTGCCCGTGTGAGGGATAAAAAGCAAAAAGCGCATGGAGACTAACAAGAAGCTCACGCCAAAGTCACTGCATCAGAACAGAAAGGGGCTCACACTTCACAGGCATATAATGTATGTATGAATACGATCCCTCAACTTTCCAAATGGGGTCCTCCCTCCCACGTGCCTCTCACAAGATGACTGACCAGAATGTTTACGTTCCAAGCAAGCAGAACCAAGCATGTGCTGTGTGGGTTTCCCAAGCACGAAGAGATTCCAAATGTGGACAGCAATAACAGTGATTACATGAAAAGTTGAGTACTAATACCGCATTACTATTTACTAATAATCGTGCTGCTCACTGACTTTATGAACGCTACACCTTACAGAAGTACTAATCACATTAACAGAAGGGCAATTAGATATCACCAATAACTCATGATTGAAATGTTTGCGAGTGCTTTTATTCTTGTGCTTGTTGGATTTTCTGTCCAATTCCTGCCTTCAACATGCTAAATTGTGAATCTGTTTATGAGGTGAGGAACCGAGAGCTAAGTCTGCACTCTGCACAATCCTCTTTAACGCCGTAAATTTCTCTTTTGACGAGAAGGGAAAAAAAAAAAAGGTTACGCAGAAATTCTCAATGACAACTAGAAATCTTAAATTCAGCTCCACTTCCCTCCTAGCCAAACAACCCAAACCCCTCCCCCCCCCCACCCGGGCCCCCCAAAAAAATTAAAAAAAAGCGCCAAGAGCCTCATTTGACAAAATCCACTTGCAGGTTCCCTTGATAAACGACGTGATCTGGTAAAGTAGCAAATTTCCCCAGAAGAGACGCTCAGCAAATTCAAGTGGCGCAAATGAAACAAAGGAAAGAGAATTAAGTGCATTTTAGCCCATGATTACGAACTAGTTATAAGATTGGGTCATAGATGTTAAAACGCAACAAATTTGGGAAGAAGACATGCTAAACAGTCAGATCGCGCAAATGAAATAAAGAAAAGGTAAATGCACATTTCGCCCCCATGAAGTATTAATCCAATCATAAATAAAATTAATACATAAACAGCAAAACGTAACAAACCCTCAAAAATTTTCAAAATGTAACTAGCGCTTCAACTCCCAGGCACGGACGAAGGACAACAAACATACCCATAAAAATAGTGTTCAGGGGGTGTTATGTGTACTTTTAAAGCTCGTGAGATTTTGCTGCGTTTTTAAAATTCACAGTTCATAAGAGTAAATTGTACCTTCCCCTACAGACTATCTTTCATAAGCTAAACAATTCAGAGAAATAGAAAGCAATCAAAACTGCTGGAACTTGGAAGTTTTTCATTAACAACGATGGCAAATTCACCAGCCTGGTAAAGATTATTGCTATCCCTTGTTTTTGCTTCTTTGGCAAACCTGAGATCAGAATCAGCTTCAACCTAGCAATTCCAATAGTTCACCCTTCTTCATTTTTGAAAATCCTTTTAGGCCTCGTGACTTCGCTAGTACCCTCAATTCGGACAGCTTCAGTGCACTCAAATCCTTATTCTGAATCACTTCCTTCCCTTCTCCATCCCCGTTAATGAAGGATCGTTCAGAATCATTTGTATCATCCTCCGCCAACTCATCCATCCCAACATCTTGGAAGAAAATATCATCCTTTGGATCAGGTTCTAACTCAGACTCGGGCTCTAAATCAGTCTCAGGCATCAAACCCAGACCTGCTTTATCCTGATTTTTCTCTCCAACTTCACTGCTTAGTGGGATTGCATTTACATCTTCCACATCATAAGAGACAGGCTGGTATTTTACACGAGCAATAGGAGACCTTCTTTGGAAATTTGATCGAGGCCTGGTGACAAATGGGGCGTTGGCTTCTCGAGTCTCATCATCCTTTGCAGTACTATCCAAATCAGAAAACCTAAGGCTCTGTCCTTCGTTGTACTGGCCACTGTCTTGCTCCAAAATTGAATCCTTTCCTCTAACATTTCCACTGCTTCTTTTTACTTGTTCTACCGAATGTTTTCTCAATAATTTGAGGAGGGAATCTACAGTGCCATTGTCTCTACCTTGCCCTTGGGAGGCTTCGGCCTTCTTTCCTTCTTTGGTAGCAACTCTCTCTTGTAACCGAGCTTGAACCTTCCTAAATAGTTCGACAATCTCCTTCTCCTTAGGTCCAGGAGCTGCAGTGGCCTGGGATTTTGGGATGCTAGAAGAAGAAAGGGATGTCAATGGGCCATTTTTTGAAGATAACATGTCTTCTTCGAAGTTCTCAAAGTTGCCTTTCCCTTCACCATGCCTGTGTTTGCTTCGAGAGAATCCATGCTTGCTTTGCCTTGAGATATCTGGATTCCTCCTTGCTTCACACACAAAAGATGCTCCAACAGAAGCACACTTTAGCCCTTTAAAATTAACATTTGAATAAGTTCTGCAATCACCTCGAGAAGAGCATGAATATACAACAGCTGTTTTTCCAGAAACACCCAAACATGGGAGACACCTGCTGTTGGGCACTCCACGACCTGCATGATCACCAAAGAAAATTGAGCAATCAAAAGAGTGAAGCATATAGAAAAGTAAATCAATATATTATTTATGACAAAAGAAACTAAATACCACCCTAGAAACTCATGTAAAGGCTCAAGTCATTTGCTAATGAAAGCCTTTGCAATTGAAATAACTAGGGAAGAAATAACATTAGAATCCAAATGTAGAAAGCCAGCTCAAACAGCCTAATCATTGTGAAACAAAAGCATCTAATTCATATAGTTTTGGAGTGATACGGTCCAAGGCAGAAGCGGGTCTAATTGGCTGTGCTTGCACCTATTTATCAAGCTTGAAGATAATCACAAAGGTATAGGGAACAACAGTTTTCACGTCTTAATGAATGACCCTGCACTGAAAGAATAGTGAAAAACAATTGCAGAAAATGATGTCCATAAATAACTTAATATTTGCAAAGATGAGATCAGAGAAATTTCTTAAAAATAACTAAAAATGTATAATTTAATATTTAGATCACTTCTTTCTTTTTATTGCATTTGTCAAATTACTAAGAACCTGATGACTTCCTCGCTGAATCACTTCAACAATAAATGGAAAATAATAGGAGAAATCCAAAAACTACAAATACACATGGAACATCTCTATCTCTCAACAGAATCTCAAAACGCAATTCGCCAAAGGGACGGAAGGATGAACCATGATCATGCCAATGAGAGAGAAAAGTCTGCAGAGCCAGTCATCTTCAACGACATAATGCAAGGAAAAAACCATATATTGTACGACTAATTACTAAGATCCACCCAAAAGCGTACAAAAACATCAAACCAAAAACACGCACACCGGTGAAGCTTTCTAATCCAACAAAAAGAAAAAAGAAAATTTCCAGCCTTGGGCATACAGTACTGAAACGCCTGTGCTTAGATAGCATTTCAAAGGAGAGTAAGTAAAAATAAAATTGAGAAACCAGATGGGGAAATAAAAGCACCTAATTTAGGTTACAACGCTTTCATTTCATTCTGAGGAACGCGAAAGAAAATAATTTTAAGTACAACGGCAAGAAACGACAGTCGAAGACCAACAGAGCCGAGACACTCACCGGGGGCGGTCTTGGTGACGGAATGCAACGCTTGAGACATGGCCCGTAGAGCTGGAACCCAGGTCAGTGGCGGTATTTCATTTTAGTCACAACTCCTAGGTTTTTCCTTTATGAAAAATTGTGCCCTGCTGATAAGGGGCATTATAGGAATAAAATATTTAACGACGGGCAAATCTGTGGTAACGATAGCAACTTGCGGCAATCAATTAATAATTAAAAAAAAAAAGTGCCAACTATACTTCAATACTATTCAATAAGTTAGATTCCATTACGATGCATCAACACTTCACAATATTGATAATCAAACTAAATAGGAAAAATGCCAATTCAACAGGCCATGGCGTCTTTTTTTTTTTGCAATTAATTTTTAAATTGAATTACAAATTTTGATAAACTAAATTTAAATGCAAGACTTTAAGATAGGCTTGGAGTATAAGACAATAGATAAGAGGTGATGACCTACCTCCGTCTTACTTTCTCTTTAATTGCAAGGGATGGAAAATTTAGACTGATAAATATGAAAAGAAAGAGACTCACTTTTATCAATCTTTCATTTGACAAAACTTATAAGAGGTGTAATCTTTTATCTTGGAATAGATTCAAAATTTTTCAATCTTATATATCTTCATTTGACGCTCGTGATAAATTATCAATAACAATATGATAATTTCCTTTGGATCCTCCCATCTTTATATAATTTTCATAATTAGAAGCCTTTCAAGGCTTTGTAGCAAAGATCTTTGATCTTAAATGTCCTTTACTGCAATATACATTCCTTAATTTCTTGTTGTGCTTTTGTTTCATTTGTTATTCCTATGTTTAGTTTCTTTCATTTAAACTTGGTTCAAAGACCTATATTGTTGCAAATTATCTTTGCACCTTATTAATATATTTGATCTTTTTATAAAAAAAAAACCTAAATGTAAAATATTTTTATATTTTCATAAAATTATATAGGGACAATCACACATTAGGCCCACCAAAGGAATATACTCACACTGCATACCCAATAGACTCTGACATTACTTTGCAAGTCCAAATGCCTTAAGTACAATTTTTTTAAAGGTTAAGAAGATTGAAATACCCTTGATGAGTGAGAATGTTTGAGCTACACATTAACCGCATAAAATTAACAATAGAAAGTATGCAATTGATAAGAAAAGTTTAATTATTTACAATAAAAAATTTTTTTATTCACAAAAGTCTTTGCAGGTTAAATTTATAAGTTAACCAAATAAAATAATAATAGAAAGTCCATATATAACACAAAAGTTTAATTATTTACAAAAAAATCTATTTATTCAAAAGAGTCTATATGAATTTATATTTGTAATTGAAAAATTTACAAATTAACTGAAGAAAATCAATACTAGAAGGTTTGAAAAATAACAATAAAAGTCCAATTATTTATAACAAAAAGTCTATTTATTGACAAAAGTTCATGCATTTTTATACTTGTATTTGAGAAGGAAAAAATTTACAAGTTAATAAAAAAAATTAATAACATAAGGTTCATAAATAACAAGAAAAATTTAATTATTTATAATACAAAGTTAGTTAGTTTACACAAATTCATGTGAGTTTACTTAAGAGTTGTCTGGTTGTTCCACCTTTGAAAATAATTGCATTTAAGGTCTTTAGACTTGTAGGGGAGAATCATAATCTATTAGACCTATAATGTCAATATGTCCTTCTAGAGGGCCATATATGTAATTCTCTCAATTATATATGATTGAATTAATTTTAAAACTAAAAAAATATAAGTAAATAATATATTTTACGCATGTTTAGACTTAAAAATGAGCAGGACTTAAAGAATAGGCCTAATAAGATAAGAGGTGCATGGAGCTTATAAAGATGAAGCGTCATTACTAAGAATACAATTGGTCCTGAAAATAGAAAAGATCACTACTATAAAAGACAAGTTAAAGTATACTTTTAATTCTTTAATTTTATAAAGTATCTTTTTAATCTTTTAACCTTAACATCATTAATTTCAAATGATTATATTTTATATCAATCATTATTATTTTGAAAAAATTAAACTTAATATGTCATCATTTGATAATATTTTGTCAATATTTAAAAATTTAATGTAAAAATATGTTAGGATAAAACTAATAAGATTAGGATTAAAGGACTAAAAATATATTTTATAAAGTTAAGAAATTAAAATAAAATATTATATAAAATTAAAAATTAAATGTATGCTTTATTCATTAAAAAAAATACTTTTTTATCTTAGTTAAAAAAGAACTAGTATGAAAAGTGTGAGCGGTGATATTTTTTGTAAATAAGTGACCTTATTCCTAACTTTCTACACCGTTTCTATAGATAGCTAGTGTAAAAGCTATTTTCTACACCAATTGTCTTGATATTATTTAAAAAAATTAAAAATAATTGATTGGCTTTCTACACCCTTTTTTTAAATAACTAGTGTGGAATGTTTTTTTAGTTATTTTAAAAAAGCAAATTTTAAAAAATTATTGCCATTCTATATAGGTTACTTAAAAAAAATAACTAATGTAAAAAGATTTTAATTTTTCAGAACATAAAAAAATTATGAATTTTTGTACCAGTTCTATAGACAACCAATGTAAGAACCTATTTTACACACACGTTATTTTAAATAATCAGTGTAGAATGTTTTTAGTTTTTTTAAAAGAAAAATTTAAAAATATTGACTTTTTACACCATTTATAATAAGAATGTATAACTTTCAATGTGTAATAATTGGCGTAAAAATGTCAGCTTTTTTGGATAATCAGTGTAGAATATAAATTTTTCACACCCGTTATTTAGATAATCAGTACAGAAAGTGCTTCTCATTTCCGCCACCTGCCCCTCTCCTCGAAGCACTTTCTACACCAGTCTCATAATTATGTAGCAGTGGGTGCGAAGCGTGGGTAGGATGGGCGGGCGGCCTTAATGGGGTTGGATTTCAAGGAATGCGCAACATGTCAACGCTCAAGCCCTATCTATAAATAGCATCAATCCAAACGCTAGTTATTCATAAACCAGAGACATTCAATTGTTACTTGTATTCTTGGAAAGCACTTACGACCCATCTGCATTTATCATCCAGTATAATTTATTTCAACGCAATTTACATTATGTATTTTACATTTTAAGTAAGCAGTGTTCCACCTTCTTACAAGTATTTTCCCAATACTCTCTTTAATCTTTATGTTGTGACTATACTGTATTGTAGCAAATGGAGAGCCTATAATAAACAAAGTATTGATAACTGAATTGGTCATTGAATCAATTAAAGTAGTGGTTCATGGGTTAGTAATTCAATCGGGAGTCAAACCGGAGTCAAACTGATCATAATTAAAATAATAAAATTTAATTAAATTATACAAAAATATTTTTATTTGACTATAAAAAAATATTTAAATAAAAAAGATATCAATCCTCAAAATATTATATAAGTTAAAAATACTATTTTTTTAAAAATAAAACATTTTATAAGATGAAATGTATAAAATGTATAACTAGAATTAAAAAGTAATTTTTATTTTTTACTTAACATCATTTAAAAAATTATAATAAAATAAAAAATATAAAGATTAAATATTTGAATATATATACATATATATCAAATGGCAGAAAAAGTTATGGTCACCAAGTTATATTCAAAAATAGGGGTAATAATAATAATATTTTAAATGTTTTTTAGTTTTAAGTAATTAAATTAATAATTACTGATATTAAAATTTTAAAAGCACCAGGTCCCAAGAAAAGTGGAGGAAGCGTGATGCAATGGGATTAGGGGTCAATAAATAGTGTAGGCTTGGTTCTGTTCAATTATCACATTAGTGTAAATGGTGCAGGCACATTTTTTAAAAAAAATTAAATGAAGTTTGAAACTTCTCTTCTCCCTATTTTTTCTTCCGTCGTCTGTGTGCGCTTTGAAACTTTCATCCTCCTTAAAAATAGATCGAAGTGGAAATCACAGATGGGAGAGGTTGAACGGCTTTGGCATACGATTTCTTTACTATTTCTTTCTTCATCATTTTTTTCCTGAATCTTCTCATCTTCTCTTTCCTTTTTTTCCCTTCCTTTTTCTTCATCCCTCATCTTTTATTCATCTATATTCTTTGTCTCTTTCTTCTGATGGCTAGTTTTTTTCATTTTAATTTTGTTCCCTGCAGCTTGGTACCCGATTAACCCAACGGGTTGGCCGATTTTTTTCGAGTTAATCCCGAGTTAACCAAGTTTTGTGCTTCTGGTTTACTTTCTCAATTGAATCGGCCAAGAGACCGGTTCACCGATTTACTGGTGACCGGCTGGTCCTGTCCGGGTTTAAATACCATGGTATTAAGGGACTTCAAGAGCTTAAGAGTATCCAATTTGTATTCATCCCAATTGGCCCAGTTTCGTTACAGCTACAAATGGAATGAGACTTTGAGGGAGGGATAAGAAAGAGGTTTGGGACAAGATGGGACATGGGATTGCCCTCAAAACATCTTGTCTCGTCCTGAATATTTTATATATATATATATATTATTTTTTATTTTAAAAATATACATTAAATATATAAATTATTTTAATATAATTTATACTTACATTTATTATATTAATTATAATTTCAATAAGAGCAATTCTTATTTAAAACTAAAATTTTTTTATATTGATAATTTTAATGACACAGTGTAAATAATACAGGGTGATATCTTTCTTTATAATATATTAACCATATTAATAGAATTTATTTTTATATTTATCTATTTAATAACTTCTGTTTATATCATATTTTTTATTTTATTTTAGAAAGAATAATTAACTTAGCATATCTTAACTAAATAAGAAGAATAATAATTTGATGTTGTGCCTGACTTTGTCTATTGTTGTTGGTCTTATAGCCTAACACTTGTAATTACTATCATAATATGTTACACACGTGTAGTTATGATTGATGTAATTTAATAAATGACTTTAAATTGTTGTGATTTATGTACTTGTATTGTTTTGATTTTAAAATTAATAAATTATGTGACTTAAAATTTTAATGAATGTTATTATCCAAATATTTCTCTCACATTATCTGATTTATAGGGACGGTGGGATATCTAGATCTCGTCCCAGTTCCATCCCAATTCTTAACTGGATGGGATGACTTTCGGAATAGGATGAGATGAGAC